TAATACCAATTAAATTTCATCATTTGAGTACTTTAAATTTTAAATACTTAAAATACTCGAGTATTTAAATTTGATATGAGTATTTTGAAACCATAACCGACAAATCAACAGTCATTATGTGAGTTACTTTTGCAAAAATTTGAGTTTATTAATTTTATATGAGTTTATTCAATCTATAACTAATGAATCAGAGTTAACATGTGTGAGTTACTTTTGCAAAAATTTGAGTTTATTGATTTTATACGAGTTTTTTTGTCAATCCATAATTAGCAAATCAGAATTCATCATTTGAGTATTTTAAATTTTTAAATTTTAATTTAATTTTTTACATTCGTTAAAAAAAAACAAAAAAAAATTTCAAAAAATTTTTTCAAAAAAAAAATGAAAATTTATGAAACGTCACAAAATCACTATAATAAATTTAACTCAATTACTATGATATCATTCAATAATATATTAAACTTTTAAAATATCAATCATTTTTATATCATTATCAATGATCGTAAGTATATTTAATAATGTCTTTTAATAATAAAAAGTGATGAAATTTATTTTTCAATATTAAAAAATGTCTCAACAAGAACAACAACAACAAAGTACTCAAGATCATGAACATATTACTTATTCATCTTCCTTTTTATGATTACCTCCTCCTATTTTAAAATGAACAATTGAAGATTTAGAAATCGAATTAATGAATATAGATGATACTATGTTTGAATTAAAAAATAAGCATATTTAAAAACAATATAAATTCAAAGCTCTTGTTTTTTTTCAATTAGAAATATTTCAAAATGAAATTTACTAATTACATAACATTTGATTATAATATTATTAACTGTAATGATTTTACTAATATATATAATTTTTGTCAAAAGAATCAAAAATCTGATCAAATCATTACATATCTAAAAACTAATGAATTCAATTTTGATGAATTTAAAAAATATGTATTATTAATTAATATAGGTCTTTATGATAACAATATAAAATATAGTTTACAAATTGATTTTGTTGAAGAATGCTATATGCTATGTATAACTGAAATTATACAAAATTCTTCAACAATGTTTGTTAAAGAATATATATTTTATAATAATCAATTTTAAATTATGTTTAGTTAAAACCAAATTAGAATATATAATTTATATAATTAATGTTTTATTATATTATTTTATTTATTATACTAAATAATTTAACTCATTCAAATTCATATTTTAATATATTATAATTGTTTTAGTTTACATTATATAAATAAAAATTATAAATAATATACAAAATTCCTTTCTGCTAAATATTTTTTTTTACAAATATATTATTTCTTTTAACTAATATTATGACATTACATTATTTATCTTCTGATAAATATAAACAATTATCTAAAGATGACAAAAGATGATATCATAAATTAGAAAAACAACATGAAAAAATATGATATCAAAATTCTATTTGGGGGTTTCTTGAACTATATGTAAATCATAATTTGATCTATAATATAATTAAAATTGATGATCCAAAATTATATGAAAAATTTATATCAGTAATAAATGAAATCTTATACTGGACAAAAGTTTTTAAAGTTGAAGATGAAGCAAAATTTGTTGAGAAATATAAAAGAATTTTGGCTGAAATGGAAGCATCGACAAATCCAAATGAATATATCATTAACCTTTTAACAAAATATTTGAAATACAAATTTAAACCACATTTATATAAAGATAAAAAAAAATTATTAATATCAATTACAAAGCTTGAATGCTTTTATCGAACAGTAAGTTATAAAAAGAAAGAGCATGATAAACAACATACAAAGAAAGAAGTTAAAAACAAAACTAAACCAAAAAATAAATATATTCCTCAATGGATTAAAAAACAATATAACAAAAAATTAAATAATACACCTTTTTTTAAATATAAAATTGACATCAATGATAAAGAAATGTATAAAATTCTTACACAATATATACAAGAAATTCTATTCATCTGTAATCATAAATATAAAATGAAGAAATCTAATCATCTTATAGTTCTTTATTAAAAAATGCTAGATAATATCTTAAATGCAAAAAATTCTAATAATTATGTTATAAATTAGCACAACAATTATATACAAACAAATTTAATTCTCATCAATATATTTTTAGACCAGATTTAATTTTCTATATTAACTTATTAATTGATTCATTCAAAGAAATTGTAATTCAAATAAACCAAAATATTATTCAATAAAGATTATTATTTTTTTTTATATTTAAACAAAAGGCATAGCCAGCGATTTCACTATTTCATTATCTTCACTCCTCCCTATATTTTTTTTAACCAAAATGCTCTCAAGCTGAGCATTTTGGAATAGTTGAATGCTTGCAGTCAACGACACAAGATAAAATTAATTTAGAAAATAAATATGTATTATCGCACACAGTAAGATAGGTGTTCGTTTTTATTTTCAAATTCATTTTATCAAAGAAGAGCCTGTCTGGCTCAGGAAGACTAGCCTTGCGGCAATGAGCTTTATATTTTAAAAAAATATTTAATAAAAATTTTTTTTTGAATTTGAACTAAGTTTAAAAATTTTAAAGTTATTACAAATAGAAAAATACAAAAATATACTTAGCAAATTAAAATATAAAAATATTTAGCTAGTACTATTTAATTAAATAAAATATATTTTTTAAAATTTTAACAATTTAATAAAATCTAAATACAAATTTTCTTTATGTTTATTTCTAAAAACATATTCAAGAAGATAATTATTGATTATTTCTTTTTGTTTTTTGTCTTTTGATATATGTCTTTTTAATGCACACCAAGTTGCTTTGATTGTATTTGTATAAATTTTTTTTATTTGTTGTTGTTGATTAGTTCTTGAATGATTAATTCGAATATGTCTGTATCCAAATGCCTCAAGATTTTGGTATCCACGCTATAAATTCGTATATATAGTTAAACCTTTTTTAACATGTTGTTTAATAATTTGTTGTAGTGTTTCTTTATTTCTATCTTCTGTAACAACAAAAAAACATTTCTTTTTTTTAGTTCTTTCGATTCCTCCTACAATCCACCATGATTCAAATTGTCTAAATTTTGATTCATCAATTTCAACAATAACTTTTTTACCTCCTATATATAAGTCTTCTGCAGTTATTGTATTAATTGCTAATTTACAAAATAATTTAGTAAATTTAACAATTGTATTTGGTGAAAACTTAGTAATTAAACTTATTTGTGTATATTTACTCTACATAACTACAAATAAGCAATTAATAAAGTATTGCTACAATTTAAATGATTATTAAAAAAAATTGTATTTTTGTAAATTGAAAAGGTTTTATGACATTCAGAATTTTTACAAGTATAAATTTTTTGTTGATATATTCTGTTATTAAAATATAACTCAGAATTACAATAAGTACAATTTGTCATTTTGTTAATAATATTAAACGTTCATTAGTAGCATGTGAAAGATGTAGAAAAAACAAAGTACGATGTGTGATTGATGATGATAATAAATGTAAAAACTGTACAAAAGTTGGGGCAATATGCATTATTCCTGAAAAATCAAAACGGGGTCCAACAAAAAAGGAAAAATTAAAAGAAACAACATAAGTATAAAAATGATATAAAAAATGTAAATGTTTTTCCGATAATAAAAAAAACTTCAAAAAATTTATATAATAATATCTTCATACAACAATTCTCGTGCTGCTGTTGCTTCTGGTTCTTTGTATCGTACATCAAGCAGATGCATTCCACCAAACCAAGAAGAACTTTATTCTTCTTCAGATGAATATCCAGCTTCTTTAGATAAATAGATTTTTTTATCGATTGCTCTTGAATAAAGTTTAATTTTTATTTATACTATTTTAGAATCTACAATAACTGATACTTATATAAATCAAGCAACAAGAAATTTAAAATAGTACAAAAGAATGTTTTGGATTCTTTTGTTTTCTTTGATTATTGTAGTATGTTTATATTTTGCTTCTCAGAATAAAATATCGATTTTAGAAGCAGAAAAAAATGATTTGTACAACAAATATTTTGATATGTACAATGAGATTATTGGTATGATAGAAAAAATAATGGTCATCTAATTTCTATAATAGAGAACAATAACAAATTACTTTGTAATAAGATTACAACAATTATATAGTTTTAATTTTTTTTTTGAATTGTAAATATATTTTGTACATAAATTTTTTTTTAAAATAAATTATTTTTAGTAAATTGGCTTTCGTGATTCATATCTTTGAATTAAACTATTTTAGTAAATTGGTTTTCATAAGTTATATCTTTGAATTAAACTATTTTTAACAAATTGGCTTTCATAGGTCATATCTTTGAATTAAACTATTTTTAGTAAATTGGCTTTGTGAGTCATATCTCTAAATTAAACTATTTTTAGTAAATTGGCTTTGTGAGTCATATCTCTGAATTAAACTATTTTGAGTAAATTGGCTTTCATAAAACATATCTTTGAATTAAACTATTTTTAGCAAATTGGCTTTGTAAGTCATATCTCTGAATTAAACTATTTTGAGTAAATTGGCTTTTATGAAACATATCTTTGAATTAAACTATTTTTAGCAAATTGGCTTTCGTGAGTTATATCTTTGAATTAAACTATTTTTAGTAAATTGGGTTTCATGAGTCATATCTTTGATATCTTCGAATTAAACTATTTTTAGTAAATTGGTTTTCGTAAGTCATATCTTTGAATTAATCTATTTTTAGTAAATTGGTTTTCATGAGTCATATCTTTGACTTGAACTTTTTTATAAATCATAGTAAAATGGCTTTAAGAGTCTTATCTATGAACTAAATTATTTTTAGTAAAATGGCTTTCGAGTCTTATCTTTAATCTAAACTATTTTTAGTAAAATGGTTTTTTGAGTTATATTATTGAATTGAATTATTTATAAAAATTTATTATTTTGAATATTTATTCAATAAAATTTTTAGTATAGTTCAGGAGTTGATACATTTTCAAAGTTATTAATCTAAGTCTGTAAAGTTCTAATAGTTTGTTCTAAATGATCGATAGTTTGTTGCATAAGATCTGTTTCATATTTATAATTTCTTTCTCTTTCTTCTCTTTCACGTTTATGAGTTTTTTCTTGATTTTTCAATCTTTCACTATTCATATTCATGTTTTTTTCTTATATCTTCAATTCATTTAACTTCTTTTTTATAGGTTTCAATTGTAAACACTAAAGTTGTAATTGCATTTGTTTTTGTATTAATTAATTCTTGGTAAAGACTGATTTCATTAGCATGATTTTCTTTTATTTCTTGTTTTTGTTTTTCAAAAGTTGTTTGGTAAAGACTGAATTCATTAATATAATGTTCTTTTTGTTTATTAAATGCTGCTGTTAGTTCATTAACTTTTACTAAAAGTTGATTTTTTGTTATATTATTACTAGACATTTTTTCTGGCAACAAGTTACATATAAAATTGTAAAATTTTGACATTTTTATAATAAATTTTTATATAACGATATAATAGATAGATAAGAATCTGAAGTTTATTTATAGTTAAACAACTTAATAATAAATATATAATATAATGCACAGTTTATTAATCATTTAAAGTTTTCTTTATTTATGATGTATCAGAATCAAATAATTTAATTCGAATATATCATAAATAAAGAAAACTAACAAAATAAAATATTTTACATTCTATGTGAATCTAAAAAATTAATAATTCTATCTAAGTTTTCATTAAATAAAATTTTCTTCATTTCAACCCCAACTTGTTCTTTAATTAATTCAAGATTCATATTATGAACTTTGTAAATATATAACCAAGAAATGAATAAAAAAATTAAAAAAATAAAAAGAATAAATTGATAAATTAAAAAATGTTTTTGTAACATCTTTATTGAATTTTCTAGAAAATGAATTTTATTCTCATATTGAGTAAATTTATTTGTTACTCATTCAGAAAGATAATTTACATCTAAAATAAAATAAAATATTTAATAATATTAAGTTTTTTAATAAATAAATTATAAATTATACCTTCAGAAAAAGCAATGATTTCTTCAGTAATCATTTCAATTTGTTTAACTACTGGAACACCTGCTGTTGGAAAGAAGGTAGTCATTTTGTTATAATTGTTGTTGAAATTTTTATAAAAAATTTATTTTTGTAAAAAATTATAATAATTTTTAAAAAAAAATTAACATTTAAATACCTAATGCTTGTGATTCATCATAAGAAGAAGGCAAGTCTTTATAAATCTCTTGTTGGTTATTTCTGCTAGATAATGTAGACATGTTTCAATAGGTGCAAAATTGTAAGTATAATATAAACAATTGAATTAGTTTGATAATAAGCATAAATTTGTAACTATTTAATTTTATTCATATTTTTAAATAATGATTAAAAAATTATTAAGTACATAGAACATTCGAATCTGAAAATCATTTTTAATATAATAAAAATGATTGAATTAAAAAAGTATCGATAAAAATTAATTTAGTAAATGATAATCATATGATTTTTTTTTCTATATTTAGTATGATAATCATTTATATAAACTGTTGATCTGCAGAAAATTTTCTTTTCACTTGTTTCATTCTTCGATGACTACACATTTTGAAACTAGGACCTCTAAATTTTTAGTAGTTTAAACAAAGCTTAAAGCTTCCCTACTAAATTTATGCATAAAATTTTTTCAATATAGTAGAGAAGAGTTGAACTTGTCATTTTTTATAATTCTTTCTAAAATCCAATAAGAATGTAGTTGGTATTCTAGTGCGATTCTTGCTATAAACTATGATAATTGTTATCAGTAGCGCAATTTGAGTTGACTGTTTGGATGAAGTTTCTTTGTAACTACTGTGAGTAATCGATATTTTTGTACATTTTGTGTCAAAAATAAAAGATCCTGTCCAGAAGTTCTACCCTGAATTCATTTGATTTTGAGATACCTGGTTCTTAAATGACTTAACAAACAGTTTTCTTATAATTTTTAATAGTGAACCTAATTAAGTTTGCTTTTCTTCTTGTTGAATTTTGAGTGAAAAATCATCAAAGAGATAAAACTTTTATAGCTTGGGGGCTGTTTTATCTCTCTTCTTAAAGGGATGAAGCTTGAAATTCATTTTTTTTAGTTCCATAGTTCAAACTTGCTTGTAGTAAAACTGCATATTAAATTTATAATTTAATAACTGATTGAACCAAGTTTTTTTTTAAATTGCATTTTTTTGTAATAACTTAAATAATAAAATTTAATAAAATTAAAAATATTATTTGATAAAATTTTTTTTAAATCTGACTCAGAGAAATTAAAATTATAAATTTAACTAAAGTTCTTTAATTGGAAGTTTAAAAAATGTATTCGTTAGAAGAAGAAACTAACAAATCACCTTGGAAAAAAATATTCGATTCATTCGAAGTATTATCAACATGGATCAAACTACCAATCATCAAACCACATTATAAATCAAATAGCTATCAAATGATTAAAATCGATGCAATACTATTTTTTGAAATATCAACTCAAAAACTAGAAATCACATTCTTATGTGATCTTGATAATTTCAATTTAATTAAAAATCATACTTGGTATTGTTTTAAAAATGGAAATATATTTTATATTAAAACTAAATATAGTAATAAAATTTTAAGATTTCATAATTTGATTTATTCAGAATGGAAATTAATTGATCATATTAACAGAATTGGACTTGATAATCGTAAAAGTAACCTTCGAGAAACAACTAAAAGAAAAAATGCATTAAATTGTAGATTATATAAAACAAATAATAGTGGTTATAACGGAATTTCATTTAATAAAACTAAAAATATTTGGCATTTTCATTAGTATAAAAATAAAAACTAAAAGCTAAATATTTTAGAATTACTAAAAAAAGAACTAGTGAACAAGCAAAAAAACAAGCTATCGATTTTAAGTTAGCTTATGATAAGAAAACAAGAAACAAAAATAGTTATAAAGTATAATTATTTATTGTAATCATTTAATAAAATTTGACTATAAATTATCTTTATTTTTTTGTCGTCATATATATTCTAATAAAAATTTTTGAATAAATTTTTTGTTTCTATTCTGACATGGTAAATTAAGTTTTAATATATTCCACATTCCTTCTATATTATTTGTATGAATTTTCATTTTTCGTAATCAACTATTTTTTTTAGAATGATTTACTCTTTTATGTTTTAATTCATATTTTTCAATACCACAATATGAAGACCATGAATCACTATAAACAATTGAATTTTTTTTAATATGTTTTTGAATAATTTTATGAAGCGTTTCTGTATTTCTATTATTTACTATTTCAAAATAATATTTTTTTTGACTATTTTTTGTTCATTCTATTATTCCAAATACCAAAAGTTTTCGAACTTGCTTTTGTTCATTTTAACAATTTTATGTTCACCACCCAGTAGAAAGTCATCTTTTGTTAAAGAATCAATAATTTTTTGTTTAAAAATTTTAACAAATTTAATTACAGTTTTTGGTGAAAATTCAGTAATATCACATAGTGTTTTAGTTTTAATTTGATTAATAAAAAGATATCCAATTAAAAGAATATGTGATGATATTAAATTTGAATTAAAGAAAATAGTGTTTTTAAAAATTGAAGTATTTTTATAACAAGTTTTATTCTTACAAAATAAAATTATGTTACAAAGATAAATTTTTGATTGACATATAGAACATTTTTTAGGAATTTTAATAATGTTTGTTTCAATTAAATATTCAATAGTTTTTGATTCATCACAAAAAATATTGTTTAATTTAATAATCGATTGCATTATTTTTTTTTTAAATTTAAGAAACAAAAATATTTATTTCTTTTATATTTTTTTTATTTTATTTTTTTAAAGGGTTATGATTATAATAAATATTTTATTAAAATAAGATAAATTGTATTATTGCTTAAGAACATGATTTAAAAATATAATATCTAAATAATCTAACAATTCTTTTTTAGTTTTAATGATTTTAATATTGTTTCTAATATTATTAATAAAACCTAAATATTTTTTTAAAGTTTCATTACTAGATTTCATTAATTTATATGAATTTATAGCAGTTTCGAATGTTTCATTAAAAATTTTATGTTCTTAAGTAGTAATTTGATCATTAAGATTATTAATATTATTAAAAGATAAAAGAATAGAATGATAAATTACTGTGATTAAAGTTTTGTTTTTATAATGATCAAAATCAGGAATATTATTTTTATCGATTAATTTATATTCTTTATCATATGATAAAAGAGTTTGTGTTTGTTGTTGAGGTTTTGAATAAGGTTTACTAACACCTTTAAGAGCTTTATAATGATCTTTATGGCATCAATTATAATGTTCAATAATACTCTTATGTTTATTTTTTGGATTACAATTTTGATAAGAACAATTTGATTGTAGACAAGAGATAGAATTATCTTGATTAATAGTATAAAAATTTGGATTTTTTTGTGAATACATTTTTTTAAATGTTTAATTGATTTTTAAAATTAACCAATTAAATTTAAATTAAAAAAAATGAGAATTTTCGCACAAAAACAAATTTTTGTGCATTTTTATATTTTTTTTGTGTAATATTATTTAGTTTTTTTATTATTATGTTTGTAGTAAAAGTTGTTATATTGTCTAATAGTATTTATAATATAGTTATGATATACAAGGTCACTAGAGTAATTCAGTATTACCGCAGAATTAAGCTGGCTTAAAGAAAATATAATAGAAGAATAGGCACAAAGACTTAGGCTAATGAATCAAAATCCAAAATTAGTTGAATATATTACAAGTATGAGCAAAAAAAAAATACTTAAAGATGAAAGAAAAATAGAAGAAATAGAGAAACTAAACAGCATAGAAAAGATGCAAACTTTAATAACAAAGAAAAGATGTCAAGATGTAGCAAGAAAAGAAATACTATAAGAAAAACAAATCCAAATAATAAATGAAATCATCAACTAAATGGAGAAGCTTAACATTAGTACACAACAAGATATACAACAAAAAAGCCTCACAACAAGCACAAACCAAACTTCTATAATTAAATCAAATAAAGCAGAAGAAACAAGAGAAAAAAAGACAAAGAAAGATATAGAAGCTCCAAGAGATAGCATTATCCAAGATGTTAGAAAAAATATAGAAAACATTGACAAAAAGATAACAGAATTAAAAGAAGAAAACATGACCTATGAAGATTCAATCTTATAAGCACAATTGAATATAGCCAATAGTTATCAGAAAATAGAGTATATAATAAGAACATGTTCTTCAAGGCAAACATGCCAGCATAAATCTTATTAGGAGAACCAAGTGATGAAAGAATAAAATACGCGCAATAGATTCTGGGCAAAAACCATCACATTAAGACAATTAAAAAAGTTTTTAAGAATGAAAACAACTAGATAGAAGTAGACTTTGATTGTAAACACAATCAAGATGCAGTAATGGACAGAATTTAAGAAAAAAAGGGTGAATGGCTCAAGCTCATTTCAGAAAAAGAGAAAAACAAAGAATCAAAACTCGAACAACAGGTCAAAAACAATGACAAGAAAGAGAAAGAATAATATAAGAGCCAACCTAGAAGAGAAGAATATAAGAAGAAAGAAGACTTGTTTACAATAGAAAATGAAACAAATTCATATAACTGTTTTACAATATAGGACCTACCTGTAAATATCAAT